GAAGCCAGGATGGGAGCCAGGGATTCACCCCCAGCCCTGCATCCTCACCACTTAGCTGCGCCTCTGTCGTCCCCCGGGTGGGGGGGGGGCTGCGAGTGGGTCCCCGGATATACACGGGCTTTGCAGACTGTGTCAGGTCCTTACAGGGGTCCTAACCCCAGGTGTGGTCACGAACCAAGGACCACGGGCTGCTGATCCACGAGTATAGAACACCCTCCCCTGTGAGAGATATGTGGCTTCATATTCTGGCCCGTGGCTGCTGCCCCCACGGGCATCCAGCTCGGTGACCCCACCCCCGTCTCCACCACGGAGATGGGGACTCAGAAGTCCAGGCTCCCACGAGCACAGTGGCATTGCAGGCAGGTGCGCGGCTCGGAGTCACCGTGCTGGCGCCTGGCGGGCGGGCTGCTCGTCCGGGGCAGCAGAACGGCCACGAGCGTGCACACACCTGCCCTGTTGACACTACCGCCACGGCTTCGTCGGCCTCCACTCTGGTCCGCGAGGAGGGCTAGGCTGGGGGGTGGGGGCTGGGAGGGTGAGAGTCGGGAGCCTCTCCATAGCTCTGTCTACACCCGCCCTGCACCCTCAGGCAGCAGTTCTCACCCTGTTCTGCAGAAAGGAGCTTGGAGAAGCTGCCCCTGAGCGCATCACCCGGTCTCACGGTGTCTGGCACTTGGGCTTCCGCGAGGGAGGACCTGCCTTGTGGAGGAAAGCAGACCCTTCCCTGAGACGCGGCGGCCATCCCAGTCCTGAGGCCCACGGTCCGGGGGGCTCCCAACCACGAGTCCTGGCCGCCCCGTCCCCCCGTCCGGCCCCGCGGAGCGTCCCCTCCCTGTCCGGGCGATGACGCCCCTTCTGGTCCCGACAATGTGCTCGCCACATGCACAGACCCGCAGGAGGCCGGGCACATGTTGTTACAGCGATAAGGGCGATCCTGCCTCGGGTAACAAGGATGAAAATCTGCATCCCGACGTGAAGCTGGGGGAGCCTCCCTTTCCCATCCCGACGAGAAAGGGGTGCGAGTCTGTCCCTGGAACCGTGGCTGCAGCTCATCTGGACTTCATCTTCCCTGCTCGCGTCTTTATTAGCGGGATTTCTCCTTTTAATGAGGACGTTTCGAGCTACCAGGTGTTTTGAATTTTTGTCTTGTTCACTTGTTTACATGAGGAAATTCAAACAGAGACGACTGCATTCATAAAATCCCAGCGGGAGGAGAGAGTGGCCTCTCCCCCAGGGGCCCTCTGCCCGCCCCTGGGGGTCCCCCGGGGCTGGCTGCAGTTCCCAGCTCAGCCACTAGGAGTCCATCCCGCAGGGTGGCCCCCCAGCAGCCCCAGCCTCTGCTCCAGCCCCTTCATTCCCCGTGGGGGGGCCCCTTTCCCGCCACGGCCGCCTCTAGCTAGTGGAGCAGGGCCCCCCAGGCATCGCCGGCATATAGGGCATATGCGCACCCGGAAGGAAACGTGAGGAAATTGGCCTTTTCCAGGGAAGACCGCACCCCCTTCTCCGCGGCTCTGGAGGATGAAGCAAAGTCCAGGGAGTCTTACCTCTTGGGGGAGACGGTTTGTGCAGGGCTTGAATCAACTAAAACGGGGCAGGGGAGGGTTCCGCGGGCTCCACTTCTGGGCAAATCCTGGGAAACGCAGGGACGCCACGCCTCCTCTCTGGGGTGGAATTGGCCTTAAGCAGCCACCACTGTAAGGGCCAATCCGTGGCCAGATACAACGGTACCAGAGGTAATTAGCATTCCTTGACTCAGTTTCCCTCCGGCCGCACGGCACTTCAAGGAGCAACCACTTGTTGTGAAGAATGCGTCAGCCTAAGTCCTTCTGTTCAGCGTGTGTCCACGGACCGTGGGGTCTGTGGGGCCGGGGAAAGCCGCGGTGTCGGTGGGCGCGCCGCAGAGTCGAGGCGGGGCCCCACCTCCCCGGCCTCCTGCCCTGAAGCACCTCCTCCTGAGCAAACCCGGAGGGCCCGAGGGCGACCAAGACGCCACTGGTGCGGGATGAGGGCCTGCGGGTTTGGAAAGGGCGACAGTTTTCCCCGTGTTTTGTCTTCTCAGTCGGGGCAGGATTTCAGCGCGTGTGTGGAGCGTCTGTGCGAGGCGCTGGCTCCGCGTGGGGAAGGAGAAGGGGGTGCGGTGGGGACGGGCGGTACAGGCGGTGGCGTGCCTTTTATTATCACAGGTCACAAGTGATGGTTGAAGCCCCTCCTTTATTTTTTTTTAAATGTTTTATTTATTTCTAGGACAGAGAGAGACAGCGTGAGCAAGGGAGGGTCAGAGAGAGAGGGAGTCACAGACTGAAACAGGCTCCAGGCTCTGAGCTGGCAGTCAGCACAGAGCCCGACGCGGGGCTCGAACCCACGAACTGCGAGATCATGACCCAAGCGAAAGCCGGACGCCCAACCGACTGAGCCACCCAGGCGCCCCGAAGCCCCTCCTTTAAACGAGTGAGCCTCTCACGGCTCCTGACCCCCGTGGGGGGTCTTTGTCCCACCTGCCATGACTGTAACAGCCGCCCCGCCGCAGCGCCTGCCCGCGCCCGCTCCCGGCCCCCGGCCCCACACTGCCGCCCGGCACTGCGCAGGGGGGTGACAGATTGCCTGTGTTTTTCCCAGCCGGCTTCGTCTGACTCACGCGGCGGCCTGGCCTTTTCTCCGGTGGGAACGTCTTGACACCCGGGTTGGGTTGATTTTCCCGCCACACAATTCATTCCCTTCACCCTCGTTTTACCGCCGGTTCCCTGGGATGAGTTCCCACCTTCCTGGGGTGGAAACGGTTCTTCTGTGTGCGTCCGCCCAGTCCTGACAGCCGACCTTGTGCACCAGCGAAGGGCACACAGCACGGGCCTCACCGCAGCCCGATGAGGTGTCCGCAGGGTGATCAGGCCGCCCTCCAGGGCCCCTGCGTGGCTGAGGTCGTGTCTGCGTCCAGGCCCACGGGAGCAGGCGGGCGGGGGCCCTCAGGCGCCCCCCCGGGGACAGCGGCTCCTTCTCGCGCAGTCTTGCACCCGCATCAAGCCCATGGCCAGCACTGGCCTCCAAGTGTCCTCTGAAACCTGGAACGCTTCTCAACAAAGTCGAACCTATTTCCTTCCCGCGTCTCGTTTTTCTTCCTCGCTCATACCACCAAACACATTTCAGAGAGCTCCGCCGACACAGCCACCGGCCACACCAGGAGAATTCGAGATAAGGCTGAAAACCCCATTCACAGAGGCAAGGGCTTTTCTGTTTGCGGCGGAGGCTCCACAAACGTGCTCCTGAGTCGGGGAGCGGGTGCCTCGCACTGGAGGCCGGGGAGGGGGTGAGCCACAGAGCCCGGCGCAGGAAGGGAGGAGGGGGGGTGGGCTCCAAGGAAATTGCACCTGACTGCTGCGTTAATAGTAGGCGTTAATAACGCTCACATTCGTGAGTAAGTGCTCTACATACCCCGCTGCAGCTCTCGTTACCTCAAGGACACTCTAGTCAGGACGTGCTGTGATGCTGCTGCGTAACAAACATCCCGGGGAGCACAGAGGCCTCCAGAAACAACTCTGTGCCCCTCACTGGTCTCTGAGTCAGTGTGGCTCCGAGGGGCCAGGTTTAGACCCGCTCCACCGCTTTTCCTTCCAAGACCAGCTGCCGTGCAGCATGCTTTTCCCGGGAAGGGGGGCGGAAGGCTAGGGTCAGTAGGCATCGCGGACGTCTCTCGAGGTCTTGGTTGGGAACTCGCACTGTGTCATTTCTGCCCCGCTGACCAACGCAAGACCCAAGGCCATCATCATCACCAACAGGGCAGAGAAGTACACCCCACCCCCCGGGAGCCCTGGCACAGAGGGAAGGGCGTGATGAGCAGACCATAGGACCTAGTGCAGGCCGCCCACACCGAGTGGTGGCACAGCCGCCAGAGGGCTCCGGGGCCCGGGGCCAAGGTGGCCGCTCTGAAGCGGAGACACAGGTATTCCAAGCGCTGTAGGCAGAGTCCCAGCCTTGCGACCTCGGAGCCACCTGGGCCCCACCTGGCATCTCTGACTCAGTTGCTCTGTTCTGGACTCAGGCGCCGGGACTCCAAAAGCCCAGAGCTTCACACGTGCAGCCGGAGCCGAGAAGCAGGCTCCGAGGCCCCGCCCGTCCCTGTTGGAAGCGCAGGGCCCCGGGCCTCACACCAAACCTGCACGTGCGCACCTGCGTTTTTTTAGCAACTTCACCGGACTGATCATCCACGTGGTGCCTTCGAGAGGTGCGGGCGTGTTGGCTGGAGCCCCCGCGGGCCACACAGGGCAGGTCAGAGCACTCCAAGGGCGCGACTTCTGTGATGGGGTTTCTGGTTCCCGTTTTCCATGACCACGGCTGCACGGCTCACGCTCCTCTCTGCGGCCACTGGAGGGGTGTGTAGGGAGAGGACCAGGTTAGACCCTTCAAAACAAATAAATAGAAGTGACTTTGTAGTTACAGATTGTATAAATTACCCACACCTAGCAAACTTCTCTCTTCACATGCTTTTAACATAAACACGGCCAAAATGTATTTATTTTTAAGCTGAGGGAGAGGGAGGAAGGGCTAACAGTTTGTTTTCCGATCCTCTCTCTCGAGGAGCGTGAATTCCTACCCCTTAAATCCTCAAGAAAACTGCTGCTTTAGGCTGGTGGCGCGCACCTTTGTTTTAAAGACGCATCTCTTAACAGGAAGATTTCCCTAAGAACCTTCCGTCCCTTAAGTGAAGAAAAGTTGGGGGAGATGGTGGGGTTTCCATGTGAGAAGTGGTCCCGCTGGAAAAAACACCAAGTTCCCGTTCCAGCTCATCCCCTCAGGAGCTGTGTGACCCTGCGCAGGTCACATCACCTCTCTGAGCCTCTGTCCTCCACAGTGAAATAGTACCAATCCCGCGTATGTCGCAAGCGTGCGGTGGAAGTGAAATCATGAGTCTGGAAGTGTCGGGAACAGAGCCGAAGAAGCTTTATGATTTTAGCCGTGAAATAGGATTGTGTGTTCCATACACAGAATTTGGAGGAGGAAACAAACAGGAAAAAACAAACAGAGAAGGGCAAAGGGTGGACCAAAAATTGCCAGTGATCCCATTCCGGCGTGAAAGCATCCACAGATCCGCAAAGTGACAGAGAAGGGTTTGGCACATCCGTCCGTAGGGCCGTCGGGGCTCTGTGTGGTCCGTGCTCTCCGATGCACCTGCCCGCGGGTATATGTGCAAGCGCCGTGAGCCCGGCATCGTGCAAAGCCAACACTGGCTGTGCTCTTCTGTACGACTGAATTCACTAATTATTATAAAAGAAATTTCAAAAAAATTTTTTTTTAATTTTTTTTTTCTGAGAGAGACAGAGAGAGAGACAGCGTGAGCAGGGGAGGGTCAGAGAGAGAGAGGGAGACACAGAATCTGAAACAGACTCCAGGCTCTGAGCTGTCCGCACAGAGCCCGACGCGGGGCTCGAACCCACGAACCATGAGATCTGACCCGAGCCGAAGTCGGATGCTTAACCGACTGAGCCCCCCAGGTGCCCCTCAAAAATTATTATTATGGTATATTCATTTTAAAATAAAAATGTACGTGGTAAGAAAAAAGAGAGAAAGATAGGCATCTTCAATCCTTATCTTCTTCGACGTCTCTGAGCACATTCATAAGTGTCCTGGCCCGGGGTGGGTGTCGAGGACGGGGCTCCTGCACCTGCAAAGGCTGCTGGGCACCTGAGAGCCTCCCAGCGCCCGGTGTTCTCTCAAGGGGTGAGTCTTCACGTGGATCTCCTGAGCAGAGCGTGGCAGGGATGAAGTGTGGAGGGCACCCTTTCCTGTGGAGGTGGCAGAGGTGGGGGGCAGTAGCCAGCGGTCAGTGGGTCCCCAGAAGGCACCAGGCACCCACGCAGCTGAGCGCACAGCAAGAACGACCCCCATCGCTGCTCCCTGGGTTTGGGGAGAATGGAGGAAGATGCCGGTTCTGCAAATGAATTTTCAGCCTGTCCAGTTAAATGTCCAGCCCAGGCTTTCACACGTGGGCGACCTGGGCTGTGAAGACCCCAAAGGGCCGAGCCCCTGTGAGACACGGGCTCTCCCCAAGCTCCTCCCATCGGGATTTTGGCTTTCTAACCGGGAACCTGGAGACAGGCGGCTCCACCTCACCACCCCTCACTCCATCCCCTAGACGGGGACGCCCTCGAGGAAGGGGCTGCTCCTCCCTGTCCCTGGAGCCCGGCCAGCTCCGTGCACACGCTGGTGCCGAGTGAGCCCCATGCCTCCCCCGGAGGAAGCCTGGCTCCTTGGGAAGACCCCCATCAGTTGGTATTACACACCATTCCTTTCCTCTCTCTTTAGACATAGCTTTAGCCGCTGTCTAGAGGAAAGAGTTAGGAATGAAACAGAGATCCTCGACAGTCCCGGACCACCCATTTTTAAGGAAAAATGGTATCACAAATTGTTTATCTAAGTGGAGAGTGTCGTGCACACAGAGATGAACGCAGAGCGCTCTCCGTATCCCGGCCCCTGTCTGGACGTTGGCTTCCGTGCCTCTCGACTAGAAGGGAAGATCAGTCCTAAAGGACGAACAGATCCGACAGCTGACATCACAGGAGTCCTTACAATGAACCGTTTGGTTTGGGGTCAGAGTGACAGACCCCAAGGGACAACTCTGGATGGGGCGAGATGGCCAAATTTTCAGACCCAGCCTTGGAAGCACAAGCCCCAAGACCCACGATGGCCTTTGCAGGAGAAGATGGGTCAAGTCCCCTTCCTTGTTCACGGGGCCCGTCCACTGTGGGCGAGCGGCAAGTGGCCGCCGTCTTGACCGCCCAAGCACCTGTCCCGGGAAAGGAGCCATGGAGCTTCCTGCAGCCGTTATGCACCCAGCCCGCAAGTGACCCGTCACTCACTGGCTCGTGATTCGCCGGCTTGACCAAGAACCATCGCTGGGCCCAGACGGGAATCTGCCTATGGCACCGTCAGGAAGCACCCACATGCGGGTGAGACCCGTGCGTGTGCAGCTAGGTCTCCAGTGACTGCTGGTGCCTCCGGAGAGCCGGGCAGAGAAGGGCTCGGAGAGCCGTGGTGACCAACGGACAGCGCCTGGGGTGGCTGCCGGCCCAGGGCCGCGTGCGCCTTCCAGCGGCCGCTCTGGCCAAGATCAGCACCTTCTTGTCACTGATGAGAAGACAGATGGCAAAGCTGGTTGGGGGCAGAGCGAGCCGCAGGCCCAGGGTGCCCGTCCCCCGGGCAGCCTCCTGTCTGCTCCCACCTCGTGGGCACCCCTGTACTCGGCCACAACGCAGACAGCTCCCTCCGAGGCTTCGTGTCCCTCCCCCTGCTGCACAGCATGACTGTCTTTCCCTGCTTACAAAATAGAAAACAGGGGCCGATCTGGGACCACGTCCCCTGTCCTCGGTAATCTGTTGCCACTGACCCGCCGGGGGCCCCGAATGCCGGGTTAGAGCTGCTGGCATGGGTGAAAACAGCTGGAGACAGAAAATCTGGCTGCATGTCCATTGTCTGTTCACACAAGAACTAAAATGACCCTGGGGAGGTTGTGTGGGTCAGCGCGTGTTGGCATTTGGGTTTATGATTCCCACTGAGTGAGTCAGCAGAGAGAACACAGAGGTTTTAGCAGACATCTTTGAGCTGGTGCCCACTGCCATTTAAAAAAGAAAGATGCCTGGGGCGCCTGGGTGGCTTAGTCGGTTAAGCGTCCGACTTTCGCTTAGGTCATGATCTCGCGGTTCGTGGGTTCAACCCCCGCGTCGGGCTCTGTGCTGACAGCTCAGAGCCTGGAGCCTATTTCAGAGTCTGTGTCTCCCCCTCTCTGACCCTCCCCTGCTCACGCTGTCTCTCTCTCTCCTAGAAATAAATAAAAAATATAAAAAAATAAAATAAAAAAGAAAGATGCCTGTTTGTAGCATGGCCGTGTAATAGTTGCAAAGCCCTGGACCCAGAGTCTCCAGCATCCCACACGTGGGTGCGCACACGTACCCAGCATGAGTACATAACTAGAAGAATGTTTGCATGTATCTCAGGCAGGAGCGGTGCCAGCTGTAAATGGAGTGGCCCGCGGCCCCGCTGTCGGCTCAAGCACCCAATGGGTTGGGGCATAAGTGTCACTGCCAGCCCAGAGAAGAGGTGCTTCCACTGCTTATTTATACTAGTGTGTAAATGACTGACATAGGATTTTTGGAACAGGTTTTGGTAGTGCAGGGATGCTGAGAGCTCACAAGTTCACGGCGGGTGGGTGGACAGGAGGGTTAAAGGTGTGTCATCGGGAAAGGGAATTGCATGACTGTAAGAGATGCAGCACAAACAGACCAGGATGTAGGGCAAGGACAGACCTTCCCCCTGTCAGACAATGAGAGGTGACTTGGAGCTCGTCGTGGCTGGGCCCCACGGAAACCCACTGGAAGTCTTCTCTCCTAACTGCTTACTCAGCTGGATGTCTTCCAGTTCGGCCGCCTTGGTGCGCATTTTCCGTGTGCGTTCCTGGGGCGCTTCCTTCCTCAGAGGGTCCCCAAAGCACACTTTCAGTGACCCCTTTCAGACCCGCCTTCCCCGTCGCCACACCTGCTTGCAGAGCCAGACGTGTTTTTGCCGTGTTCTGTCGAAGCGGAAAGCCGCCCGGGGGTCGGGGCAGGCGGGCGGGAGCGGCAGCCGCGGGCATGAGCGAGGGCTCTGCTGCCGTCCCGGGTCCCAGAGGGCGGGGCCGGGCCCCCGGGAGGGTCACAGCCGTGGTCGGGGTTCCTCAGGTGCCTTTTCCCGGACGAACAGCACTTCTCAAGACCGAAAACGTATTACTACTTTCAGGCCCGGAAAAGTAAATCGGGGTTGGTTTTGGCTAATACAGCTCAGCCGCGGCCCTCTCCTCCCTCTGGGCGAGCGCTACACATTGCGGCTCCGTCTGCTGTGGAAGAAAAAGCCTGGTCTCCGGGGGCTCTGATACACCCCGCTGCTCACGCGTGTGCGTGTGTGTGCGTGTGAGTGCATGTGTGCACACGCATGTGCATTGTGTGAGTGCGCGCATGTGGGCCACGAGCCCTCGCCCCGGTATGTGCCCGTGAGACATGCTGGCGGGATGTGCCCGGACAGCCCCAGGCGGCGAGCAGCTCGTCACGTCTGGGCCCAGGGGGTTGCAGGTGAGCTGAGCTCGTTCCTGGCCTTCTGCTGGCCAGGGGGGCCCTGAGCCCGGCTCCCATCGCTGCACACGCTGAGAAGGCCCTCGGGGGACCCTGGAAACAGACGGATATAGTCCGGGTGGGCGTTTTCCCCGCGGCAGAACCTCCTGCAGCATGCGGGCTGTCTGGGGCTCTCCCACCCCCTCCTCTACACTCTGGCCCCACTCCTGCACAGCTCACACCCCTCCCGTGCCTCGGTTTCCCCATCTGGAGAGGCCGAGAAAGGCATGTTCGGTTCATAGGTGGATGTAGAGGGTGCCTGAGGGGATGCACGTGAGGCCGTGCGGCCGTCACCAGGCTCCTAGCGGCCGCTCTGAGCTCCCAGCCGCACCGCAGGGCCCCTGCCCCGATGCGCAGCCTGACCCCGTGAGACAGGGACGAGGCCGGTGTCGCAGGAGCATCCCCACTGCTCCCACATCTGCCAGCACCTGCGATGGCCAGTCTTCCTCACTCCAGCCGTTCGGCTGGCGGCATCCCTGGTGGGAGCGGGTGACACTGGGCGAGGGCACGCTTAGGACAACATGAGATGCCGAGTGTGAACTTCAAATGGAGAGCAAAGCGAGAGAGAGAAAGGAACAGGAATCTGGAACATTCGGCACCGGGCTTCGCAGCAAGGGGGGCGCCACGTGAGCACAGAGCTGTGAGCACGTGTGTCTGTGACGGGGTCAGAACCAAGAGAAGTGGCCGCTGACGGGTGAAGAAAACCCGCCCGGCGGGGCCCTCTCCAGCCCGGCTCTCGGCAGATCCCTCGTCGGCGCGGTCCCTGGCGTCCTGGCCTCTTCTCACCCGCGGCCTCAGCCCCTGCCTTCCCGCCTCGCCCACCTGCTCCCCGGCGGGTGTCTCCTGGACCGCCTCCCACGCCCCTTGAGCGGGGGCACGTTGCCCAGAGGACCCACCGCTGTATGAGAACAGAGTATCTGAAACGGGGCCAGTCTGGAAAACGCGCAACACGGGGTCGTGTCCCGGGAAGGCACCGGATAAATGCCAACGACAGCGATGGGCACTTGTGGGGGGGCCTCGTGGGGGGGCCGCCAGCTCTCCAACACGGCGACGCGCTCTCTGGCGAAGAGTCCTGGCACCAGCCTTCAGAAGGAAGTGGTGGCTTCTCCACGAGCGCCCGTCTGAACGGAGGGCCCACTCAGTCTGCCTGGTCACCCACAGCCCCCACATCGCATCCAGGGGCGGCCTGGGCCTCGACCGACACGGACACTCTCCAGAAATAGAAGCCCCGCCCCCGTGGGGTGGGGGAAACCACAGGAAACAGTTCAAAGCCACTTCCAGCGCCGTGGTGGGCCCCCAGGAAGCTATGAATAGACGTGGGGCCGCTGCTGCATTAACGGGCTGTTCGCCTGAGTCATAAATCACAGAAAGACGGTCCCGCATCTGAACAGCCCGCCGTCTTCACTGTCTCTCTCCCGAGCAGCGCTCTGCGGGCTCCGGTGACCCCGACCCCGTCCGTGAGTGCCGGCCCCACTCCTCCTCGTGGGCAGGGTCTCCCAGACCCGAGGACTCTGGCCCAGAAGAGTCGGCGGGTGCCGTGAATCGCAGGAAACGAACGCTACCTCCGTAAGCCTCTGCGGCAGGATCTGTCCCAGTGGCTGCCCACGCCTGGCCCGGGGTCCCCGCTGTCCCGCACTGGACCCGACCTGCCCCCACCCCAGCCACTTCTCTTCTCCCTCAGCCACCTGTACAGCAGGAGAGCGCGGCCGGACTCACACGTGTGACCTTTAACGTCGTTTCGTTTCCTTGGCTCTCGTTTCGCCGCCACGCTGACTGGCCCGCCTGCGTCTGGCCCACGCTCTGTCAAGGTCACGGCGACCGTCGAAGAAAAGGCCGACGTTGTCGGCGAGCCTTGTTCTCGGTGGCGGTGGCCGCGTCAGGCCTCCTCCCCTTCCCGCCCCATTTCCCGCAGGGAGGCGGGCGCTCAGGGACAGACTCAGCCCCCAGTAAGGGAGCAAAGCCTATGAACCGCCGTTAATGCCACCTGGTCCCCAAGCACAGCCTCGGTCTTTGCCGTGACGGTTCCCAGCTCCCGCCACCTCTGACAATACCCTTCCAGGTGGAAGACGGGGCCCATTTGTTCGGTGACCATATGTCACAGATGCAGGGATGAGGCCTGGTTTGGGAAGGCGAACTCTGCGCGTTGATTCAGAGCGATTTTGGGGACTCATGTCAGACTGGGGCGGCTGCCCATCCTCCACCCACCTCGTCTGTGGGCCGCAGGGAGGTGCCGGCAAGGCCTCGGGCCCGGGATGTCCACAGTCCCAAGGAGGCTGCAGCCAGAGCCCCGACGGCCATCCGAAGGCGGCGGAAGTAAGAGAGTCTTTCTGGACACTTCCCCAGTGCTCAGGGCTCAGCGCTCACGGCTTGCTTTCCGGGGCTTCTGGATCGGACGGGGCTCTGGCCACTCACAGGGCAGACAGTCCAGCCCCTGGAGTCCAGCTTCCTCCCAGCCTCTCAGCATGAAGGGGCTCCATCCAGAGGATAATTCGGGGTGTGGATTAAGGCCCGGGGACTGGAAGGGGGCACTGCAGCGTGGCCGGGCCCCCTAAGGGCAGGCGGCCCCAGGACCGGGCTACAGCAGCTTGGAGGCGGGCCCCAGGGCTGGGCTGCAATTAGTCTCCCCAGGAAGGCCAAGGTCAAAATGAAGGTCTCGTCCCAGGAAGGAGGATGCAGCCATGTGATCTGGGCTAACACACTTTTGTTGTGTATCCGCTCCGTCAGCCCAGGAGAGGCACACGTGTGCTTTGTGCTTGCACTCTCATGCCGGGGTGTTTCTGCTTCCTTCTCGGTGTACTTTCTGGAAGATGTTGCCTCTTACAAAAATTCGGGGTGGGAGTACTCATGGCAATCCCAACCATAACCTTCTTTGCAGAAGGACACTTTCTGGAAGCTTCCTTTCGGCTTTCGTTATTTCTGCTCTCTTTTCTGTTTTGTGTAAGCGTCACACTGAGACTCACCTGTAGGGACCAGTGTGCCCAGCACAGAGTAGGTACTCAGACGCTTTGCTGAATAAATGAACAAATTCAAAAGCAGAAAAGAGAATCATTTTGACCTCTGCACCTCCCTGTAGGCCAGACTCCCGATTATTCAAATTCACATCAGTTTTGCGACTCAGCATTTTCTGCCTAATGATGGACTTAATTCCTATAATTAATTAATTTGGACTTATCTTTCGGGGGGCTGCAATATACACTTCATTGTGATTCTTTTCTGTAAAAAACATGTCAGCGGCATCTTCTTAAGTATTGATTCATTGCTATTTTATAAACATCACTCATGGTCGCTTTTTTAAAAGGAATTTAAGGGGTGCCTGGGGGGCTCAGTCGGTGGAGCATCTGACTCTTGGTTTTGGCTCAGGTCAGGCTCTGCACCAGCAGCGTGGAGCCTGCTTGGGACTCTCTCTCCCCTCTCTGCCCCTCCCCAACTCGTGCTGTCTCTGTCTCTCTCAAAATAAATAAATAAACTTTAAAAAAGAAAGAAATTTAAGCAGAAATTCCTAAGAAAGGAACTGATTGCCCCAAACACATTAAATCCAAAATAATATGAGCATGGCTGGCTTTCCCGACATCCTCCCGCACAAACATGCAAGTAGAAGGCTAGAGAGAGAGACAAGTTGATGCCCTCAAGTAACGCCATTCTTGCTGTTTTTAAATTAAACTGTATTCGCGTTACTTTAATTTGATTGGAAAACAGTGTAAAGTAAGATGGAGGGAATTGCTGGAATAGTTCTTTACCACAAGAAGTTAATTTCTAGAAGCCACTCTAGGCTGATAAAGGAGCCCAGAGGCAGTGTTTCCGTCCGCTGCACCCTTAAGGCGGTGCTTTGTGACCTTCCCGTTGGAAAGAGGGAGACCCCGGGGCGCTGACAGCCTGGGTCTGTGCCCCAGGGCGGGCCTGAAACAGCAGGGCTCCGCGTGCGGGGTCCCCTGTTCAGCGTCTGTACCACATGCATCCTCCTCGGCAACAACGGCCCCGAGCGTGCTTAGTCCCGTATTCGGACGAATTTCAATTTTTCTGCAATCGTTTATAACAGTCTCTCCGCGCTCCTTTTATTCTGTTTAAGTTTCTTGTTTTTAGCTGGGTTTCATGCAGCGATTGCCCCGCGCCCCACGTGGACTCAGGGACGGGACCTGTCTGTCGCCGTCCCACCCGAACGGCAGCTTTTGCCTGGACTTTGTAATCCCTGTCCCATTTTCTTTCCCTCGGAACACGGGAGAGCCGGCGGGTCATCTGCCCCGGCGCGTGCTCTCCGGGAACACAGTCCGGCCGTGTCGTGTTGTCCGTGGCCTCCTGATGCGCGGGGGGCACTTCCGGCCCACCTGGCTCCCGTGCGGGGCGCCCTGAATGTGCCCACCGCTCACCCAGCGGCGCCTCCCGCCTTCTCCCCGGGAGCCAGGAGCACTTCGAGCCTCTCCCTTCCCGTTAGCCGGGGCGTCCCAGGGCCCCCCGCTGTCTGCTGTGTCACCCTCCGCTACTCCCTTCCTCGCTCCCCAAATCCACGCTGGGGCCCCGCACCCCTGCTCTCCCCGTGCATCCGCCAGCGTGACTCAGGGCCTCACGGCCCGAGCCGCAACTCTGCTCCTGGACCGTCTCACTGCAGAGCCTGGGACCTCAGGACACACAGCCCACCGCACGGCCCCGCTCCATACACTCGGATTTTAACTTCCAGCCTCAATGACAGGCTCCAGTGTTCCTCGGTCCACAGATGTGTGTGACACTGGGGACGGACACTCCGTCCAAACGCCAGCCTGTCCCGGAGCTGGCCCTCTGGCCTTTCTCCGTCCACCTGCCCCCTCGCACCCCCGCTGCTCATTTTTTATTCCTGTGCCCAGAAGCAGAGATGCTCTCTACCCACATCCTCGCTGGGGCCCAGCCAGCCGAACCGCGTGTGAGCGAAGGCTTGTCCTAGCAGATTGTGAAGATTAGGAGTCAGCGAGGACTGCTGTGGAGAGCCCGTCACAGATACGGGGACGTTTTTCAGTACAGATGAACTGGCAGTACAGTTTCAATGTCTGATAACGTGTTTGGTGCCCCCACGAAGAGCTGGAATCTGCGAGAACAGACGATGTGGCCCCTGGCTAGTGTACCGGGCGTCTCTGGGGTTCCCACCCCAGTCTCTGCGCCAGTGACTGAACCTTCTCCCTCTACTGGCCTAGAAGGTCAAGATCCACCCAGTCAGTGCAACCAGGCTGGCCCCCAGGCTATGCCTGGCCTCCCCAGAGATTTCTGACGGGATACGCAAAGCCACTGTCCAAAAAGCCTGAAGCCATGAGCTATAAATGCAGTTCCAGCCACACTGCCTCCATGCTGAGCCCCCAACATAGCAATCCCAATCCTGCCACAGGACCTTGGCACTTGCTGCTCCCCCCCTCAAACATTCTTCCCATCAGATACCAACATCGTTCACCCCCTCACTGGTAGATGGCTTCCAAAGTGTTATCAGAGAGTCTCTGACTTGTCCATTTAGGGTAGCACACACGCACACACATACACTCACAGGTGCACACACATAGACGCACATGCACACAACCATATCCAGACGTGTGCACACTCACAGCCACATACACACTCACCCGTGTGTATGCACACACTCCTACACTCACGCACACATGCACACGCATTCTTCCACGTTTACCGTGTTCCTCCTCCGCCCTGGCAGCCCCCACCATGTACAAATAGAACAGAGACTCGAGAGGCCCCAGGACTGTGCATCCCTTGAAGCTTGCACGGCCTCGAGCACTTGGCCAAATGCACACCCACTCGTGGAACAGGTTGGCGGACAGTCTCAGAGCCCAGGTTTACGAGTGTATGTGGGCTCTGAGTCACGTGCAGGGTAGTAGGTTCAAATCCCACGCCTTCGCTTACTGACTGTGTGACCTTGGGGGTTTGTCCAAACTCTCTGAGCGCCCCCGGGTGCAAACAGGGACCACGAAGCCTCAGGGAAGCTACCAGGTTGTTGTGAGAGCAGAAGCAGGCGGTGCCGACATGGGGCTGGGTGCAGAGCGGGACACGCTGACCACGCGGACCCCGTTCCGGGTGCTGTGCGGCCGGGCTGCGCGGATCAGGTTCACGGCTCTGGGTGTCTGCATCCTCTCGCGGTGGCAAGTGCGGCTTCGTAGGTTTGCTGAACTCAGAAGGAGGCGGCCCCTGTCCTGCGGGTCTGGCCCGCGGCCCCTGCGGGGGGTTTGGCGCTGCCAGTTCAGCCTCTGCGCGGGCGGCAGGCTCAGCCCCGCGCCGCTGGAGAGAAGGAAAGGAGTCACCCACTGACCTTTCTTTGCTGCTTTGCAACTTCACTAAAGCATTTCCTTCCCTTCCCCCATCCAGGAAGGGGAGAACAGCTCAGTCAGCTTCCACCCTGAGCTGCCCCTCCCCATGCAGGTGGGGCCGGAGGGGGTGGGGGGACCGGGCTCCCTCCCGGGAAGGCAGGGGGCCAAGGGGCAGCAGCTCTTCTGAAGCGGCAGGACACAGACGCCCTGGGACTCAGGGACGGGGCCGCCAGGTCGAATAGGAATCACTTTTAGTAGAAGTATGTCCCACGTAATATTGGAATTTCAGATAAAAATGAGTAACTTTGAGAGAAGCTTATCCTCTGCAATAGTTTCACTGAAAATAAAAAATGACCAGGGGCGCCTGGGGGCTCAGTCGGTTTCGCGTCCGGCTTCGGCTCAGGTCATGATCTCAGGGTCCGTGGGTTCGAGCCCCGCGTCGGGCTCTGTGCCGACAGCTCACAGCCTGGAGCTGCTTCGGATTCTGTGTCTCCCTTTCTCCCTGCTCCTCCCTGACTCGTGTTCTGTCTCTGTCTCTTTCAAAAATACATAAACATTAAAAAAATTTTTTTAATGACCAATTTTACCATAAAATATGTCCCATGCAACTAAATAAACATTCGTTGCCGTTGTGGGTTCAGTAACATCCCCCTGGACCCGCAGAATGTGACTCCATTTGGAAAGGGGGTCTTCACAAATGAAGTGAGCTAGGATGAGGTCGCACCGGATGAGGGTGGGCCGTAAATCCAGGGCCTGGTGTCCTTCTAAGAGCAGCACATGAGGACACAGAGAACATCGGGGCGGCGCGTGTGACCACGGAGGCAGACTGAAGGGACGCACACACAAGCCGAGGCACCCCCGGAAACGCCGGGAGCCCCCGGGAGCCAGGCCAGGCAGGAAGGACCCTCCACCATGATTCTGGTTCTGGCCTTCAGAGCCGGGAGAGAATAGATCTCCGGTGCTTCAAGCCCCCATGTGTGGTGCCTCCTTACAGCCGCCCCAGGAAACAAATACAGCTGGCTCTCTAAGTCCCCATCGAACTGGGCGTCTTGTATTTTTATTTGCTAAATCTGACAGCCCTACTCAAGAATCACCCCAGAGGAGTGGTTAAAGCGGTCGGGTTAGGGGTGCCTGGGGGGTTCAGGCGGTTGAGCGTCGGACTCTTGCTCTCAACTCAGGTCATGATCTCACGGTTCATGGGTTCGAGTTCCGTGTCGGGCTCTGCGTTGACAGTGCGGAGCCTGCTCGGGATTTTTTCTCTCCCTCTCTCTCTGCCCCTCCCCTGCTTACAAGCTCTCAACATAAATAAATAAGCATTTTTGAAAAATTAACAGTGGCCTCATCAGCACCCGGATGGTGTGCTCTTACCCACTGATGTGGGCACAGCATCCGCCAAGGGCACCTGGAGTCCTGTCTCCCCCCTGCACCCCACTGACCCCTCCCTGCTCTTTTTTTTTAAAAGAATTTTTTTAATGTATATTCATTTTAGAGAGAGATACAGAGTATGAGTAGGGGAGGGTCAGAGAGAGAAGGAGACACAGAATCCAAAACAGGCTCCAGGCTCCAAGCTGTCAGCACAGAGCCCGACACGGGGCTCAGACTCACGAACTGTGAGATCATGACCTGAGCCGAAGTCGGGCACTGAACCAATGGAGCCACCCAGGCGCCCCTATAAACCCTCCCTGCTCTTGATTAGACTACAGTGGAGCTGTCTGCCCTGGACCAGCCCCAGCACGGGCGCCTGTGCTGTTGGGCTCCGACTGAGCGTGTGCCAGGAGCACGCGACCCCTCCCTCAGACGCCAGATTGCGTAAGACCCTTCAAGACTGACCCCACCCCTGCTCCTCTCCCCCCACAGAAGTTAAAGCGCCCCAAACTGCAGTTCTCACAAACCCTAACACACGGTGGAGTCAGTGGGAAGGGCCATGAGACCCGGGTGTAGGGACTGGGGGTCAGGAGGGTCTCCCCGCCTCCAGCCCTTGAAGGACACGCCACAGTGACTTCTGGAAGCCCACTTGCCATTTCCCGCCTCGAGCAGCAAACGCGAGCTCGGCATGTCTGAGGCCCCGACCTGCAGACCCGGCGTGGCTTCCGAGGGTGAGGAGTGCACGGCACTGAGCCCCCACCCCCAGCGGCTGGACAAATGCGCATGTCTGTGGTCTGTGGAGGGGACGGCTGCCTCTTATCTAATTGCCTGGCGATTGCCGGACCACCCACCGTCCTAAATTACCCTCCATTTGCTAAGCCCTGGCCTCGGAGCTCTGCTGTGAGATTCAGAAGGAGGAATGTGCCGGCCTGGAACCAAACGCCTGGCGTCTCGTCTGTCCTAGCCCTCCGTGAGGGCGGCCGCCCCCCTCCTGCCCCACCCCCCGGTCCCCCTCCCGTCTCGCCCCCCCCCCCCGCCCGTCACCTGTCCGCACAGCTCTAGGTGGCCACGCCGAAGCCCTCACCCCCGATGTCCCACGACGCCGCGCCCCAGGGTGAAGGCGCGGGGTCCCCTCTGCCCTGCGGTGGCCCCATGCTGCTAGAAGCTCGAATCCGCGTTCATCACCTGGAAACGGTGGGCAATTGTCACGCAGCCCAACAGGGCAGCAGAGAGCAGGGCTCCACGTGCTCACGAGAAGAGGCGCTTTTGGAAACAAGCCGGGGATCGATTCGTAGGCGCGATGGTTAGTTTTGTCTGTCAAGCTGCCCAGATCGCTGGTGAAAAGGTCTTCCTGGGCGTGTCTGGAAGAGACTAGCATTTGAGCGGGATGGGGGGGGGGTGCGCAGAGTCAAGAGGACCCCCCACTGCGGGCGGCGTCATCCCGTCCCCCGAGGCTGGAGGAGGACAGGGGTGGAGGAGGGGGAGTCCGTCCTCTCTGAGCCGGCGGCCATCTCCCCCCGCCTGCCTTCCGACAGGAGCATCCCTGGCTGTCTGACTTTCCGGTTCAGGCCCCTGGGGCCTGCTGGACACACGTGCGGCTCGGAGGCTGAAGAGGAGCCTTCTGTCACCCCCTGAACCTCTCCAAACCCTGTCCGATGTGTCACCTTACTTCTAACCTGGGGCGACGCCACAGACACAAACACAGACTGTTCCCAGGAACCGAGTCCCTCACAGGTGCTCCATACTCACCCCTTCGCAGAGGGGAGTCCTGGGGCATTGGAGGCTCCGTACTTGGCCGAGGCCCCCTAGCAGTTCAAGAGCAGGGGGGGTTCAGCGCCCCCCCACCTGGCTGCAGTCCCGACCACCCCGCCCGCTGCCTCGCTTGCTGCCGCTCGTTAGTCTGCACCTGATCAGTGACGCGGAAGATGTCCCCACAGTCGCAGGGGCCCCAGGGCCGGCTCACGTCAGGCTCCAGAACAGTGGAGAGCTGGGGACGCTGCATCAGGAACTCTCCTCCGCCCACCGAGCCGTGCGAGCGCCCGCCGTCCTCTGGCACCGTGCTGATGCCAACAGCCGTGAAAGATGTGGCCTGAACTCGAATCCGAGCCCACTTTGAGAAGAAGCTCAGATTCGTTGTTTTTTTTTTTTTTTTTTTTTTTTTTTTATTTCTAGGAGAGAGAGAGAGACAGCGTGAGCAGGGGAGGGTCAGAGAGAGAGGGAGTCACAGACTCTG